CCCTGTAAATGTAGCAGGAGACCTCACAGTATAAGACCGAAACATTTGTACTAACCACATGAACTCCAAGTCATACCAGTAACTTGGTGGACTCAAATTCCAGATGATGTAAAGACTACTATCAGGTGTGGAAGGTTCTGAGAGGCTTTACTGCACACTCAAACTTATGCCTACCTTGGAGTAACTTCTACTTTATTAACTCCTGTATGGGATACTCAGATTCTTAGTTGACTATTCATCTAAATTGTACAAAAGTTATCAGTCTCCCATGGCAAAAGTAGTCAATTAAAATTGGCCAAATGGGGGATGGCAAGATGGCTCAGCAGTTAAGAGCACTGACTGCTCTTGCCAAGGACCCAGGTTCGATTCCCAGCACCCACACAGCAGTTAACAACCATCTGTAACTCCAGTTCCAGAGGGATCTGTCTCCCTCTTCTGACCTCCATGGGTATTGTGTGACATGTGTACACTTATACACACGCAGGCAGTACACTCATACACATAAAATAAAATATAATAAATAAAATGTATTTTTTAAAAAAATTAGCCAAATGCTAGAGTCAAAGGAGACCTTACTTGAAGTAAAGGTGCTAGGCTAGAGATTCTATGATAAGTTGAATTCACTGAGGATGAAGAAAAACATTCCATAGAAAAGGACTCTTTTAAAATTAGGGTATATAATCCCAGCACTCAAGGGGCAGAGGCAGGTGGATCTCTGTGAGTTCAAGGCTAGCCTGGTCTACATAGTGAGTTCCAGGACAGCTGGGGCTACAGGGAGACCCTGTCTCAAAAAGACCAAAAAAAAAAAAAATTGGACATATAGAGGGGCAGCTATGGAAAATTCATTAAAGGAAAATGATGTAGTATAGGAATGGACTGGACAAATTATTCAAGACTCCACCCAAACTCAGATGGAATATGACATAGCTATGGGGCAACGGCCAAGGCTTCTTATTGCAGAAACTAGGCTAATGCTCTATGGAAATTTTATGGAAAATCTCAATTATAGAAAATAATAGATGGAGTCTGTAACTTCATATTTCAATTTAAGAGACCATGTTCCCCAACTAAATGAATCTTTGAAGTATTCTGTAGTACAATTAGCTGGGAGTAGAAAAGTACTGAACAACTCTTGTATTCTGGCAATGGGAAGCAGATGTTATCATGAGACGGCTCTTATGGGAGTCCTGTTTCTCTCCTTTCCTGTGAAATGAGAACTAAGATCTGGTTATGTGCACAAAACGTACGGAATCCTGACTTCTCAAAGGTCTGGCCTCTTTGTTTTGAAGGTATTTTGGCTTTGACATACATTTTGGTTTTTGTTGCTTTCAGGCCTCTGGAGATGCTTGATTCTGACTGTTTGCTTGTTAAAATTTACTAGCAGTGATCTTTTCCCTTGTCTTTGTTTTTTTCTCTGGACACTTCTCCCATATCTAATACAAAAAAATGAAAAATTGTTTTAGAAAACCAAACTCCAGCTGGTTGTAGGTCTGATTAGTATGTTAAATCATATTCGGGGTTGGGGATGAACTTTGGGACAGGTCTTCCTGTCTCGACTTTTCTCTGGCCTTGCCCTTTGTTCTCTGTGTCCTCGGGCATGGCTCTGGATGCTGGCAGACAGTGGCTCGACTTTGGGAGGACCACTTCTCTTCCAGGGAGCTCTTCTCACTTGGATGTATCTTTCACTTTTTCTTCTCCGCAGAAACTCTTTTGCTTTTAACACTCATGTTTAAGTCTGCACTAAACTACCTTTATACTAACTATTCTTAAGATTCCCTTCAGTAATTGAAGACAGAAATCCTGGTTTGACTTAAATGAAGGTCTCTGAAACTTGGGAGAGCGCCCCAGGCCCCTAAGGATGACCAAGTGGTAGTTATGTCTCTCTCAGTCACCCCTGAAGATTCTGGGCACTCCTGATGAGATCCATCTTCAAACATTGTTGGAAAGTTTCCCACTTGTCACATGTATGGTCTACCCTGGTGACTAAGCACTTTGGATTTCTTTGCTTCTATTTTTCTGTTCCACATAGATGGAACTGATAAAAGGAAAGCCAAAGGACCCAGGGGCTCCCCCTGAGAATCAAATCCTTAACTGACCTTGAGAAAATAAAACTTGGTTAATTCGGGCCAACTGTATGGTCTTAAATACACAAAAGGCAGGTTTAACCAATGTGACAACATTGAAAAAAATCTCCGTTTTCTGCTTTTCACAATTCTGGTTTGTCTACACTGACCAACTGAGGATTGATGGCAGCACCTTGCTTGTTAGGGCTGCCAGAGCCCAGGCTCTGAGCCTAGTAACTCTACAAACAGCTTCTTTTTTTCATCCTGGGATGTCCCAGGGCTGTAGTGGCCCAGGGTTCTAAATCTGTCATGCAACATTTTCAACCTGTCTTATTTTTAACTTATTTTACTATCTAGGCTCCATTTCTGCAGAAACATAGAATCACAATTCCACATATAAGTTGTCTTTTCTTTCTTTTCTCCACAAGTCATAGCCTTCTTCACTCAACCTTGGGACAGTCATGATAACTGGAAAAGTTAATTTCACTTAAAGAAATATTCCAGCATTATGATAAGCCAATAAAATTATTTGTGATCTGAAAAGAAAGACAAACGTCGACAAGCAAATCAACTTAGAAACTCTTTGGCTAAGAAAATTAGTTCAACAAATAACTTGCTGAGTTAATTATTAGGGTGGAAAAGAAGGACCATTGTAACCCACGTGTTCTCACATTCACCACTGCTTGTGGCCCAGTGGGGACAAAAGTTATTTTCTGAGGTACCATCTTCCACATTCAAAGCCACCTTTCAAGGAAGGATTTACAGGAATACACTTCAGCATTAATTGGTAGCTACTGTCTCTCTGAGGGATATTTGTACCCTAAGACTGCTAGAATTTGGGATGAGAAAGTGATGAGAGAACAAAGATGTAGGAATCAAATCCAACTTCAACAGATACAGATAGCTTTATTAGCCACAAGGGGCAAGCAACCTTCCTGTGGGAGTGGAGGTTGTATGTTGTGGTAGGGGGTGGTCTGGGATTTATAGGTGGGCCCAGAAAATCTGAGAAAGGGGGTCATGCCTTGGGTCTTGGGAAGTGTTGAGCTCCTTCCTGGAAAGGAGAGATGAAGAGTTCTGATAAGGGAACCAGGTATCTTCTGCAAGGTGGTTGGTAAGGAACCAGATCTGCAAGGAGACTGATATGGAACCAGATGTGCTTTGATAAGGAGTCAGATGTCTAGGCTAGAGGTTGGGTTGAGGTAGATGCATCTCCCTACTGGAGTGGGGAGGCAGGGTGGGTGGATGGTCAGTTCATTCAGTCATTTGTCAGGATGATTTTCTTATGAAGACCAATTTTTTTTTTTTAACCAAAAAAGAATTTAATTTGGGTTACAGCTCAGAAGGGAGCATCTATACGGATGGGGAGGCATGGCTGCAGGCAGCTGGAGCAGGAAGCTGAGAAATCACATCTTCACCCACAAACACAGAGCAGAGAGAGAAAACTCAAAGTTGAGTGAGGCTAAAAACCTGCAGACCTTCAGCAAGGCTCCACTTCCTAACATTTCCATAAACTGCCCCAAATAGCACCACCAACTTGGACCAAATTCAAATAGCTGAGCCTATTAGATATATTTTTATTTATTTATTTATTTTTTATTTATTTATTTATATTAATTATTTGTCTTTTATCTTATTCAAACCACCATGCTGATTATTTTATTTCATCTATTTTTAACGGGATTTTTCTGAGTTTCATACAATGTATTTTGATATTTAAATTTCCTCTCCTAGCTCCACCTCTCTTATAGCCCATCCCCCATCACATTTCATGACTCTGCAAGACAAATTCTTATTATGAACTCAAGAGGTTTCTACTATGGAAGGAATTCTTAACCTGAGACTGAGGTTAAAGTGACAGGGAGATCTTTCCTCTTGATATTGCCCAGTATCCAGATTATCTGTGAGGAAACCAAATCCCAAATAAAGTTAGGGGAAAACATGTTGTTTTTGTATTCAGGATTTCAATAACTTTAATTGGTATGCATTAAATTTTAATTTACTTTGACATTAATAGGGTTGAATTTGCTTTACTTGTTGTCCACAGCAAGCAGTGTGGTGGGATTTTTTTGCCCTTGAAGCAAGTCTTTATAAAAATGAGAAAACAAATGAGAAGGAGAAAGAAGACAAGAGAAGGAAAAAAAGAACGAGAAGGTAACGGGTCGGGTCGGGGAAAGGAGGAGCACCGGCAATGTGCACAGCAGTGCTGAGCTGTAAGCATATTTATATGAACTTGTGAGTTGAAGTAGAAACTGTATTCTTAGCGTGTATCGAAACTATCACACAGTCTGGAGATGTAGCTCCGCTGGCAGAGTGCTTGCCTAGCATCATGAAGCCCTGGATTTGATCCCTTGTACAGGATAAAACTGAGCATCATGGTGCATACCTGTAATTCAGCATTCTGGAGCTGGAGGCAGGAGGAAGAGCCATTCAAAGCCATCATTGGCTACATAGGAAGTTTGAGGCCAAACCAAAAGCACCAAATCAAACCAATCCAAACCAAGCAAACCAACAAAAAGCTATCAGACAAAGTACCTGTAATAAAGGAATTAAGAAGTTGGGAAAGATCAATGAAGAGACTTGTGGAGAATTGTTTATAACCATCAATTTAATTTGATGTTAAGACTCGGAAACAGTTCTTTCCATTAGGACTTTCTGCAATGAATGAATGTTCTTAGTTTCAGAGTCAGTATAGCGGCCATCAGCCACATGTGGTACTGACTACTACAAATATTGCTAATGTGACTGGGAAACTGGATTTTTTATTTTAATGAACTTAAACTGAGTTTCAAATAGTCACCAATGGCTAGTGGTTTCCTTATAGAGCAGTGCATGTCTAACAAAAGTACTTCTTTCAAAGGTAATTTTAGAAATATTTTAAGTCCACAGAGGGTCCTCATTCCTCAGAAGCAGGCCTCTGGAATGAAATGGTGGACTTACCTTCACCCAGGGGAACTTCTTCCTGTTCAGTGGAGGAAGGAAGGAGAGGCTGCAGGGGCTCCATGTTAATAATGAGCTGTTTGTTCAAGGAGTGAGAGCTGCGACTCTGAGTAACGTTGACTCTGAAAACAGACATAAGCCAGAGAGCAGTGTGTCCCCTTTGAGTACGAGCCACCCCCACCCCCACCCCCACCCCCAGTGCCTACTCAAGCTGAGAACTGCCTCTGGATACATAGGGATAAGGCCAACAGTAAAAATGTTCTAGCACTGAGACTACAATAGCCCTCACTGTCATTAAATTCCTGACAAAGTCTACATGTTCTGTTCAACCCAGGTGGGGGGAAAATGAAGTTCCAAGATGTCATCAGACACAGATATGCTCGGTGACAATGCAAGCATTTCAGTAGACATAGGAAAACCTGGGAGTCTGCTGACACTGAACTGGGCGTGTAGAAAGGGGAGTGAAAGTAGCTGAGTCATTGAACCACCGCAAAAAAAATCCCTGATGGACAGGGATGATCCATTACTGTGATGATCTATTACTGTGAGCTGTCTTCATGTTGTCAAATGTCTAATGCTTAATATTTTCATCCATGCCCTCCTCATTGATCAGCCACGTAACCCAATTCGGGTTCTCATTTGGAAAGGAACATGCACAGGAGAGGCCGTGACAGGTAGCAGATGTTGGTGTCTCCTTAAAACTACTGACTGGCATCTAGATGCCCAGCATCCAGAGGTGGGGACCTGTAGGTAGGCACTTCACTATTGCCAATTTCCTGTCAAAACCAAATTAAACAATTTTTTGAAAATGGTGCCCGATGTCTCCTCCGTGAAGCCTTCTTGGATTATTCTCTCTCTTATCCCCCGGCCACCACTCTCTCTTCTTTCACAACTCACCACATCTGTCACTGCAGTTATTGTACTGTCACTACCTTGATAAGCACTTTAAGGGCAAAGACTGCTGGCCTAGGTTTGAATATGAAGGAAACTGAGTACAATCTTAGTCTGAGACAAGATGACACTTCAGACGGCCTAGGGTCTCCTCAGGCTAGGCACGTCTGTTGGGTATGTGATAGAATGTTGAACAACAGGATATTTGTTAGCATTTTGAACAGGAAGCTTTCAGAGTTTGGCATGGCCTGGACAGGAAATTTATTGGGTCTTGCCTAATCATGGAGTCCTGTCTTCCTTTCCATTTTAGATACCGATGTTGGAGCTGATGATTATGTATTGGATGATCTATTCTGGGGAATTGTAGCTTTCCCATTAAGGAAATAAGTCTAGAAAGTAAGATTTTCACTTTGTAAAAAAGCCCGAGACAAATGCTATGAAATACATTTTGTATCAGCTATCCTCCTCCCCCAAATCTTCAGATAGAGATGTTAATCATCTTGATGTCCCATTCATAATTGCATTGTGCAGCAGCAGCTTGGGTTTGCAACAGGCTGAGGTCACCAGGAATGACCTCTCAAGTATGCCTGCTTTGGTACTGGATGGCCTGGGGAATAGTGACTTGGTCTCCATATTCACAGGTCTTGCTGCTTCAATGTATAGAGGACAGGGCTGATGGGTATGCCTAGGGGTAGGATCGCAGGATATTAAAATCCTCAGATTTCCAAGTAACAATATGTGGTTATTACTTTTTCATTAAAAGCAAGATTAAGATAAATCCAAAGGCATTTCCCACAGCACAAAAAACCCTGTGTTCCAAGTCTTTGAGCTACTCTTGACAACTTGAAGAAAACAGCAAGCAAATTAATGGGACAAACATCTCTCCCACCTTTCCTTACTACTATGGCCTGAATGTTTTTTCACCTTAAAATTCATTTGTTGAAAAGAATTTCTTTTTTAAAAAGAGGACAAAAATTATCTCCTTTGGGATGGTACTAATAAGAAGGGTGTTTGGAGATGATTAGGTCAGAAGGGCCCCCATGAGTAGGTTAGTGTCCTTAGAGAAGTATTCTGAGGGCCTTGGGAGATAGCTCAGTGGGCAAGAGCACTTGTCACCAAAACCAATGACCTGAGTTTAATCCATGGAACCTACATGCTGGAAGGAGAGAACTAACTTCTGAAAGTCTTCCTCTGACATATAAGAAGGGTGTTTGGAGATGATTAGGTCAGAAGGGCCCCCATGAGTAGGTTAGTGTCCTTAGAGAAGTATTCTGAGGGCCTTGGGAGATAGCTCAGTGGGCAAGAGCACTTGTCACCAAAACCAATGACCTGAGTTTAATCCATGGAACCTACATGCTGGAAGGAGAGAACTAACTTCTGAAAGTCTTCCTCTGACATACATAGCCATACCATGATGTGCACATATTTACAGACACAGACACAGACACACACACACACACACACAGACAGACAGACACACACACACACACA